GCTATGCTAGTCAGGTATGTCTATATTTACAATATCTCAGCTATGCTAGTCAGGTATGTCTATATTTAAAATATCTCAGCTATGCTAATCAGGTATGTCTATATTTACAATATCTCAGCTATGCTAATCAGGTATGTCTATATTTACAATATCTCAGCTATGCTAATCAGGTATGTCTATGTTTACAATATCTTAGCTATGCTAATCAGGTATGTCTATATTTACAATATCTTAGCTATGCTAATCAGGTATGTCTATGTTTACAATATCTCAGCTATGCTAATCAGGTATGTCTATGTTTACAATATCTCAGCTATGCTAATCAGGTATGTCTATATTTACAATATCTCAGCTATGCTAATCAGGCATGTCTATGTTTACAATATCTTAGCTATTCTAATCAGGTATGTCTATATTTACAATATCTCAGCTATGCTAATCAGGTATGTCTATGTTTACAATATCTTAGCTATACTAATCAGGTATGTCTATGTTTACAATATCTCAGCTATGCTAATCAGGTATGTCTATATTTACAATATCTCAGCTATGCTAATCAGGTATGTCTATGTTTACAATATCTTAGCTATTCTAATCAGGTATGTCTATATTTACAATATCTCAGCTATGCTAATCAGGTATGTCTATGTTTACAATATTTTAGCTATACTAATCAGGTATGTCTATATTTACAATATCTCAGCTATGCTAATCAGGTATGTCTATATTTACAATATCTCAGCTATGCTAGTCAGGTATGTCTATATTTACAATATCTTAGCTATGCTAATCAGGTATGTCTATATTTACAATATCTCAGCTATGCTAATCAGATATGTCTATGTTTACAATATCTTAGCTATGCTAATCAGGTATGTCTATGTTTACAATATCTTCAAAATTCAGATCGTGGTATATCATCGTTATGATATGGTCTTGCTAAAGCTTATATGCTGACATTTGTTTCAGATAAACAATCCTCATCAGGACAGATAATTTTGGAAACTTTCAAAAAAAAATTGACTTATAAGGGTATTAACTCAGTAACGGAAAGCTATGAACAGGAGAGGAAACTGACAACAAGAATATTCTAAACATTGTTAATGTGTTTATGTTACGTTGTGCTGTAAACATGTGTTAAAATGTGTCATGACTGCATGTTTATAAATGGTGGTTCAATTACTAACAAATGTTAAGTTTTAAAGATTATTAAGAAGCTATTCTGTGCCTGAAATGAAAAAGGAATAAAATTTATATTTTATAGGTTATAGTGATGAAAGAAGGAAAGATAACATTACAAAGTAAAGTTAGTGAAGTTAAGAAAATTGATCCAGAATTATATGAATCTTGGAGGAAAGCTATTAAAGAAGCTAAAGTTTCAGAAATTAGGTATGATATCTAACACAAAACAGATTCGCTATTCTTTTAATCAGTTTGACTTTATTCTCAGAAACAGGAATTTTTTATCTAAACTAATCAGTAATAGTGTTCACAACTCATGAAATTTTAGCCTTCAAATCTATGTGTGTCCAGAATTATCTGCATTTGAATGTTAAAATGATGATTTGTCATTTCTTGAGACATCTGTGAAAGTGAAATTTCTAGTTTGAGGTATTTTTGAAGGAATTATGCGATTTTCGTACATTTAAAGTACTTCTGAAGACTAATTACATATATTTTTAAGACCCAAAATCAACCCTGAAAATGGTGAATCGGTCTCTTTGATACTAGGCTATTGTTTCAAAAGTGTTCCACCCTGCAAATATGTATATTCTATTGGCATACCTCTTAGAAAACCCTTAGCATATAAGCATAAAATGTTTACATAGTGCATGTAAATTCTTGCATAAAAAATGTATGATCTCACAAAGACCACATATGTTTGGATGTAATTTTGTAGAACTAAGTTAAAAGAACCTATGGAA